TTGTTGATCATATAAGGAGGTTGTGCTCTGGTGTTGTGGATTGTCTGAGGAAGTTGTGCTCTGGAGTTGTGGATTGTTGAAGGAGGTTGTGCTCTGGTGTGGAGGATCATCAAAGATGGTTGTGCTCTGGTGTAGGGGATCATCAGAGGTGGTTGTGCTCTGGTGTAGGGGATCATCAGAGGTGGTTGTGCTCTGGTGTACGGGATCATCAGAGGAGGTTGTGTTTTGGTGTGGTGGGTCATCAGAGGAGGTTGTGCTCTGATGTAGAGGATAATCTGAGTAGGTTGTGCTCTGGTGTTGTGGAGCATCAGAGGTGGTCATGTTTTGATAAGTTAGATCCATAAAAGTTGTGCTTTGGTAGCATCGGTCAGTGGAAAAGTCTGTGGTCTGGTAGGATGCATCAGGAGAAAAGGCTTTGCTGTTATTGACTAGATCAGCAGAGGAAACTGCACTCTGGTAATGTGGATTAACAGAGTATGTTGTGTTCTGATATGGCAAATTATCAAATGAGGTTGTGCTCTGATAGTGTGAAGCAACAGTTGAAGTGGTGCTCTTGTATGGTGCATTATCACAGGGGGTTTTACTCTGGCATGGCTGACCATCAGAGAGCATCATGTTCTGGTAAACTGGATCAGTTTTGTTCTGGTAGAATGCACCATGAGAGACGTCTGTGCTCTGGTAGGATGAAACAGTAGAGGATGTGGTATTGTTGTCTGGATCAGGAAAGGAAAGTGTGTTCTGGAGGCACTGATCAATGGAAGAACTTGTTCTCTGGTATGATGGATAATCACTCGAGGCTGTGCTCCTGCATGGAGGATCAGCAGAAGTTAGGCTTTGGTATTGTGGTTCAGAAAAGATTGTGCTGTGGTAGACTGGATCAGGAGTGTCGGTTGTACTGTAATAAAGTGGATCAGGAGACCCGCCTACTCCCTGGCAGGGTGGATCAAGAGATGAAGCTGTGTTGTGATAGGCTGGGTCAGGAAAAGATGTTATGCTCCAGCTGGATGGCTCAGAAAAGGAAGTTTTACTCTGATAAGATGGAATTTTGAATTGAGTATGGGTGGGGGTTGTGCTCTGGTTGGTCATATCAATAGTGCAGACTTTGCTCTGCAAAGTTGGGTCAATAGAAAAGGTTGCTTTCTGGTACAGTGGATCAGCAAATGTATTAGTGCACTGGAGTGGAGAATGTGATGAAAGACCTGTGGCATTATGTTCTCTTTCCATGGTGTTTGTCCCCATATTGGATGGACTATGGTATAGCACAGATTTTATATTTGGTGTCTCTTTTATGTCTTCCAGCTGAGGGCACTTATCTGAAATTGTGCTATTTTCAGTGCCCTTGGTTTGAATTGTAATTACAGATGTTACATGGTCCTGTAGCTCACTGTCTTTAAGGAATGCTGGCTTTAGAAGTGTAATGTTGTTACCGTTATTAGTGTCACTTTCTGCAGAAGTGGCCATATTTGTGTTGTCTGCAACACTGGATATGCCTGACTGTGCTGTTAGCCTTCCAAGCGTAACACCTTCTTCCTTAGAACATATTTCAACATGTTTAATGTCCTTGTTTTTAAAGCCCATATCATATATGCCCTCGTTTACACTACTGAAGGAAGGTTGGTTCTGTTGTCCTTTTTCTTTAAAAGAATATATTTGATTTTCTTCACAGTGCTTTACTTTTGTGAAGTAGCCCTTTACCAAATCACAATCAAGATCTTTCTGACCTTCAGATCCTTCTCTATGTTGAATATCAAAAGAATCATGATCTTTAATGGGTATGGGACATTGAAGATTCACATTGTTTGCATAGATGCATTTATTTGCTGCCTGGATGGACTACATAAAGGTCCTAAAGGTTTTGTTGTCAAGAGCACAGAATTTTCACAAATGATCTCACCACAGCATGTTTCTACAAATTCTGTGCCACAGGTTGGCATCCCCTTGCAGCTGTTCTTAGGCAGACAAGATCTTGGCACATGCCATACTTTGGCCAGAGAAGATGTATTATATAATTTGTCTGAGACACAATCTTTGATGTGGACATTTTGTATATACTGACTTGCTGCTTTAAAAAGTTGTGGATCGGAGTGTTTTACCGACATACATTTTATTTCTTCTTCAGCTTTTTTAAATTGACATTTATCTAGTGTGCTCATATAAACATCACTTAAATCTTCATTTTCCATATCATTTTGACTGATTTTAAAATCCCTTTTATTCTTCCCCCATGTATTTAATTGTAGAGTTTCCAAATCACTGTAGAGATCAGTGGTATTGTCTATTTGAAGTTCCGAGTCCCCTATATCTGTAGGAAATTCACTTTGTATTGCCAACAATTTGATTGATCCATGTTGATCAGATATTAGTTCACTCATCTGGGTTGCTGCAAAAGGATCTTCTGAAAATTCACTCTTTAAAAAGGCAAAATTCTGTTTGGGGTTGAGGAAAGTTTGGCAATGTATATGCAGATTCTGACCACTTTCAGGCATTTTGTTAAATCTTGTGGTTTTTGTTACATAATCTGTAGGTTTAATAATCTTTGCATAATTTTCCAAATCTTCTGCCATGATAACATATGATTTTCCAGTTTGAGTCATATCCGAAAATGTCTCCACACTAAATGGCATAGTGATATTATCTGTAGGCTTTCCTTGAAAAGAAATTGGTGCAAAAGAGCTTGGTTGCTGATCTATTAAATGATCAAGTATGTTGGTTTGTTGGTCAACATTTGTGGGCTGTTGAGCTGAGGTTTCACTAACTGCTGTTCGAAACACATGAACATGGCTCTGAGTTCCACCAGAAGGCAACATCTCTGCAGTAATATCAATATCAGTCTCGGTTGTTATTTGATGCTCCATTGTTGCACCAATACCCTCTTGAGCCATGGTAGTCTCTTGTTTTTCTTCTTGTTCGATTCGGGACTTTGGGCAAGGAATATGTGGACTAAAACCATGTCTTGAGAGCTCGCTGTTCTTATCCATATTTTCTATCATGATGCTGTAAAAAGAAAACAATATTAGAACAATTTTGTGAATCATTTCAGTTATTTCTTGATTTAGTCAATATATGTTTCAGTAATAACTATTTATAATTAAATTATAATTGGTAAGGGTAAATGTTGAGGGCTTGCTCACACCATCAGTGTTGGCCTTTATTGCCCAACGCAAGGAAATGGCAAATAGCCTTATGTCCTATGGCTTCAGTTCACACCAACATGCCGTATTGGTGTATACTGAAAAAATAGTATGTGTAGCTTTCTTGCAGAAAACAGCACATTCTAACTTTCTGCAACATATCACAACACACTGTAGCGTAGGGTAAAAGCATTGTTAAATAAAAGAAAAACAAGGGCTATAAAAACAAATTGCAACACAGAAATTACACTTAGTGTTCTGGATTGAAGTATACACTATAGAGGGATCTGCTTTGTTTCATTTTTTATGTCTAAGGTCTACAGCCAGTTTAAAATTAAAATCACAATGCAAGCATGGTAAATGCTTAGGACTGCATGTCAGGAATGGACTTGCCAATAGTGGTGGGACTCACCTGCCTTGTGGGCTGCAGTACCAGGGCTGGCCAGTGGGTGCTCTCAACAACCAGAGGTTCACTTCGGCAATTAGCCATCACCTGGGGCTGATTGCACGTGGTGTATTTAAGGGATGGCCAGACCTGCAGTCTGTGCCTTGGTGTGTGTTTTTCCATGGGCCCCTGTATCTTGTAACCTGCATTCCTGTTCCTGTTTCTGCCTGACTTGTTGCTGACCCTGCCTGATCCTGACCTCTGCTGACTTCTCCTGTTTGATCCCTGGCTTGTGACCCTGACCATTCTCTGCCTGACCCCCTGTACCTACCTGTCCGTTAGTTGCTGTACCCGGCTCGTGACCTGACTACTCTCCGCCTGCTCCTCCCGTACCTACCTGCCCGATAGTTATCGACCCGGCCTGCCTGACTACATTGTGCTCTATATGTGCATGTACCTGTGTATCTATATCAGTTTAGGTTTGGGTTTGTTTCACCTTGTTGTATGTATTTGTGTTAGCTTGGGGTTTGGTGCACTGCGTTTATGTTTGTATTGTTAGTCTTAATAAATTGTCTTATTTATACCATATCTGAAGCCTGTGTCAGTACACACACCTCTGGTCACACCCGCATCCCTGACATTACACCAAGGCCATCCTGACCAGAAGTGGTTGCACAGGGAAGCCATCTTGGCTTGTTGCTGGGAAGGATGGATCTTGATGAGGTTGTGTATTTGTCGCTGCTGGTTTTTGATGACAGAGAATATGCTTATCAGACTCTGAGGGAGTATCCCAGGGATCGACTGCTAGAATGTATATGGGTCGCTCATGTTCTAGTAGATCAGGGCACAGAGTTCTCTGAGGTGCAACCTTTGATTCAGGTTTGTGCAGAGTTGGCTTCATCTGGTACCCCTGAAAGCAGGAATGACTTTTTGCCACCATTTAGTGCAGACCAGGTAGAGTCCCTGGTATGGTTATTAGAGGATGATGTGGATTGCTTCTTGGAGCATTATGCTGCATGTTCACAACAGGTATTAAGGGATTGTATAAACGCAGTGCAGTCTTTGACCAGACAGGCTTTGTGTAAGCTGAGCTTTGTTCAACCCATACTGCAGACATGGTTAGACTTGTTGCACCCAGCCTCAGTCAGCTTACAACGTCATTCCTCCTCTCAAGGCACTCTTCCTGCATCCCCGACAGCACCCCCAGTGACGGCCCAGTATACTCTGCTAACTACCACATATCAGTCCTCTGCTCCCACTCGCTGCACCTATCCTTTCTTTAACCCTGTAAAGAAGTCCTCTGTAGCAACTGCTCCCTCCTCTGTTCCATCCTCCAGCTCTTCTCTGTCTTCAGCTGCTCCATCCGTTTACAAACCTGCGCTTACTTACAGTGCTCCGGTAACTAAAACCAGGAAAAGGCAAAAATTCTTTCCAACCAATACCATCCTGCCAGTATCCAAACCGGTCAGCCTGCCATCTGAGAACCCGCCTTCCGTGGTGCAGCCTGGTGCCTCGGCACCTACAATTCAGCCTGATGTCTCTACCCAGCCTGATGTCTCTACCCAGCCTGATGTCTCTACCCAGCCTGATGATACCCCTATGATATGCCAGATGACTCGGTGCCCGCTGTCGAGCCAGATGACCTGATGCCTGGTGACCCGATACCCGCTGTCGTGCCTGGTGACCCGATGCCCGCTGTTGAGCCAGATGACCTGGTGCCCGCGGTCGAGCAAGATTATCCAATGTCTGATGACCCGGTGCCCGCTGTTGTACCTGGTGACCCGATGCCCACTGTTGAGCCAGATGGCCCGGTGCCCGCCGCTCCATCTGGGGGCCCGGTGCCTGCCGCTCCATCTGGGGGCCCGGTGCCTGCCGCCCTGCCTGGTTGCCCGGTGCCTGCCGCCCTGCCTGGTTTCCCAGTGCCCGCCGCCCCACCTGGGGGCCCGGTGCCCGCCGCCCCCGCCTGGGGGCCCGGTGCCCGCCGCCCCGCCTGGGGGCCCAGTGCCCGCCGCTCCACCTGGCTGCCTTGTGGGCTGCAGTACCAGGGCTGGCCAGCGGGTGCTCTCAACAACCAGAGGTTCACTTCGGCAATTAGCAATCACCTGGGGCTGATTGCAGGTGGTGTATTTAAGGGATGGCCAGACCTGCAGTCTGTGCCTTGGTGTGTGTTTTTCCATGGGCCCCTGTATCTTGTAACCTGCATTCCTGTTCCTGTTCCTGCCTGACTTGTTGCCGACCCTGCCTGATCCTGACCTCTGCTGACTTCTCCTGTTTGATCCCTGGCTTGTGACCCTGACCATTCTCTGCCTGACCCCCTGTACCTACCTGTCCGTTAGTTGCTGTACCCGGCTCGTGACCTGACTACTCTCCGCCTGCTCCTCCTGTACCTACCTGCCCGATAGTTATCGACCCGGCCTGCCTGACTACGTTGTGCTCTGTATGTGTTTGTACCTGTGTATCTATATCAGTTTAGGTTTGGGTTTGTTTCACCTTGTTGTATGTATTTGTGTTAGCTTGGGGTTTGGTGCACTGCGTTTATGTTTGTATTGTTAGTCTTAATAAATTGTCTTATACCATATCTGAAGCCTGTGTTTCCCTGTGTCAGTACACACACCTCTGGTCACACCCGCATCCCTGACACTGCAGCACTATAGAATATTAGGGTTTTATACCTTGGCACTGGATTATATAACCTTTTCTGAAGAAGATGATCAGAGTTAGCATTGGTATTGCAGATTGTGTGACTAAGTACTTAGGCCTTCAGACATGTGAACATCACTGGGGAAATTAATTTCCCCTACTGTTCTTTATTTATAGATCCTTACAAGTCTGTTAAAATACTTTCACATTAATATTTGCATGTTCTCCCTGTGCCTGCGTAGGTTTCCTCCAGGTACTCCAGTTTCCTCCCATATGCCAAAGACATGCTGGTAGGTTAATTAGCCTTTATCTAAATAAAATTGAGGAAATGGTCTTTCTAGTGTGGCTCCATAGGTCAGTTTTTAGATGAATAGTACTGCCTAGGTTTTTACATATACCAAGGTTCTTGTAAATACCAGGGGCGGACTGACCATTTGGGAACTCAAGTACTGCCTGAGGGCCCGGGGTCAGAAGGGGGCCCCATGAGATGCCCCTGGTACCTTTTTTCATAGGCTTTTTTTGGGTGTGGTTTGAGTGTGGGCAAGGACACAGGGGCTTCATGGTCCCCTATTGCCCGGGGGCCCCATGAGTTGTCAGTCCGCCCCTGGTAAATACTATTATTTTCCAGGCATCTTTTTATATGTGCACAGGGAGCCCCCCTAACCAAAGAGCACACTGAGCTATGAACTCTACTTTTTGGTTTGTGAAACCTTACAGAGGTACATGGCATGAAATCCAAACTGTCAATGGTACAATTCAGAGTAAGGCATCAGGGTGCTGGCTCCCTGGGTCACAAAAGTATTTGTAGGTATCATGGTATTACTAAACAAAGGCAGTACTATTGGTTTCAAACTGTTGCTTAGTTGTTAATCCAGTTTGAATAATGAACCACTTTATTATTACTAGCAAAAGATATATTTGAGTGCATACAGCCAAGAAATATGTAACACAAAAACTATGTATAGACAAGAGAATGGATATAGTCTAGGCACCAGGTGCCTAACCATGTGTACATAACATACTGTATAATATTGGCAATAGGCACAATACATCAAACATGTAATTACTGTATGTACAATTCGGAAAAGTTTCTTCACAGTGAGAGCTGTGAACATGTAGAATAGACTCCCTCAAGAGTTGGTTCTGGCCAGCTGAGTGGGATTGCTTTAAAAAAGGCCTGGATTCTTTCTTAGATAAACACAATATAACTAAATACTAACATTTATAGGTAAAGTTGATCCAGGGAATATCCGATTGCCTCTTGGGGGATCAGGAAGGAATTTTTTTCCCTGCAGGAGCAAATTGGATCATGCTTTGCTGGGTTTTTTTCTGCCTTCCTCTGGATCAACTGTCGGTATAGGATCATAACTTTTTTTTTTTTTTTTAATGGTTGATCTGGATGGACTTTTGTCTTTTTAGCAAGACTAACTAACTATGTGACACAATTCATATTAAGAACATCAGTAATAATTCAAACTCACTGAAAGCACATGATGGTTCTTCATTCAACAGACAAGTCAAAAACTTTTTTGGATATTGACACAGGAACTCAATCGCTTTTAAGAATTGTAAATTAACATTTTAGGCCGGTATGTGTATCGCTAAACACTGTCATGGTTTTCTACTAAAACTGGAACATCCAAAGTCTGGTGCAGCTCTGCACAGAAAGCAATCGACTTCAAGTTTTTATTGTGAAAGCTTAATTGAACAAGCTGAAGTTAGAAGCTGATTGGTTACCATGCACAGCTGCACCAGTTTTAGTAAATCTGTCCCAGTGTTAGCAGCCTAGTCAGTCTAAATAAAAGTTCATAATTAATTTTACTTTTTCCTACAAATGTTGTTACAAATACACTTCTATTATAGTTTCCGGATACCCTCACCCCCCTCCAAGCCTATACTCACCTGTCCCCTATCTGGGTTTGCTACCTCATCCCTTTAAAACGGAACACATATTCATTACACATGTACAGTGGCTGATTAAAAACTCACTTAGTGCCTTATCTGCATTAAATTAGCCTCAGAACCTGAGTAATTTAATTTGGAGAGTTGTGCTAGAAGGGGTGATTTAGATGGGGATTTGTACTGGGAGGGTAGATTTTTGCTAGGAAGAGGGATTGGGGGGGGGGTTGTGCTAATAGGAATGATTGGGGGGATTTGTGTTAGGAGGGGAAACTAGGGAGAGGATTAGTGCTAGGAGAGGGGATTTGGGGGGATTTGTGCTGGAAGAGGGGGATTTGGAGGAGGAGAAGATTTATGCTCAGAGTGGAAATTTGAGGGGTAGATGATATGTACTAAGAGGTGAGATTTGGGGAGGGAGCAGATTTGAGCTGGAAGGGGTGATTTTTACTGGAAGAGGGTAATTGTTTTGTTTAGGGAGAATTTTGACTTGCAAAGAGAATTTTTGCTTAGGGGGTAAGTGTGAAGATTAGTGCTTGAATTTTTTTTTGGGGGGGATGGAGGGGATTTTTTCACCAAATAATGCTCATACATTGGGGGGGCACTATTTGGCATCTTTGCCCTGGGCGCTAGACGGCCTTGTCCCGGCACTGAGTACAACCATATTTGTTAGATTAGTACTCAATGTCATTTGCATTCAAAGAGGACCTGTGAGCACAGAAATATAAGTGAGTTCATTGCTGACTTGTTTGTAAAGGTGCAGACTCCAGGGATGCTGTTCTAATCTTGTGTTTACATTACAAATCAATGACCTTGGAACGAGCAAGCAGCCAACATAGTCAAAGTCTGTGCTTGGATTTCTGTCCTCATAAGTTGTTATACTAAACACATATGTAATAATATCTTACTCAGTAGAGGAAGCCTTGTTGCAGTTTTCTGCGGAATCTGTGGCAGTCTCAACAGGGAAGCCTTAATGAAAAAAAAATATACTTTGTCAGGTAAACTGAGAGTGTAATAATGCAATTTCAACTATTTACCACATGCATAGGCAGGTCTATTACTCTCTCTTTTTAGAGTCAGGTCTAGTATAATTATCACAGTAGCTGACACTTGCCTCTGCCCCTGCAGGATGAACAGGAAGAGCGGGACAGATGTCTCTGACAGTGAAAGGGAGAGGAGGGTCACTGGAAATCCATTCCAGATACACTATTTTCCTAAGGTTTTAGCTGAGCAGCCAGACATTAAAATCCAGAGAGCACCAGACAAAAACAAGCTGATGAATTCCATCGTCAGCTCTCCTGGGTCCCAGTCTGTGCTGAAGTCTCTGTTTTCAACTCCATCAACCAAAAATGTAAAAAAGATAAAACAGAGAAAAGCTTGCAAATGATGTGAACTTAAAAGTCTGAAGTTAAGCAGGCAAAGAGCTATTTTGTATCAGCAAATAATCTAGAACTAAACTAACTCATTTAAGAAGATGGTAGAAACTCCACTGTTGGTTCCCCACTGCACAAGGGTCTCTGCAAATAACCCACCACTCGGCTATGTGCAGAGAATAGTCACAATCAAACATGCAGCAGCACTTTATCTTGATCTGGCTTATTTGAGAATGCTGGAAAGCTGCTGCAGGTGTTACTCTTTTACCAGGCAGATACTGCTGGAGACATGACCAGGGGCAGACTGACAACTCATGGGGCCCCCGGGCAATAGGGGATCATGGGGCCCCTGTGTCCTTGCCCAAACTCAAAAAAGCCTATGAAAAAGGTACCAGGGGGCCTCTCATAGGGCCCCCTACTGACCTCAGGCAGTGCCCGAGTTTCCAAATGGTCAGTCCGCCCCTGGACATGACTAGGGCTCGTTCACACTTGGCTGTTTTACCAACGCTTGCCAAACACCCCTATAGCACTTGGCAAGCGCTTGGTCCGGCGTTTGCGGAGCGTTTTTTAATGCTCCGCAAATGCCGCATGCGCGGTTTAGCAGCGTTTGCCGAGCGTTAAAAATGCCCCACAAACGCCTATAATGCAGTTTGAATGGTGTTACCGCTCTGCAAACGCCCCGCAACCGCGTCGCAACCACACTGGAAACGCCGACCCGGACGTTTGTCGAGCGGCACCATAGACTAGAATAGGAGGCTTCAACGCCTCCTGACTCGACCAGAGGCGTCTGTTTTGCCACAACGCGATGCAAACGCTCCCGTTAGAACAGCACCATGTGCTGTAATGTGCAGAATTGTCCGAGGCGTTTAGGAAGCAGTAAAAACACTTCCCAAACGCCTCTCTGCCGCCTGCACACAACACTAGTGTGAACGTAGCCTTAGGCTGACCATACGCTATATAATTTTCTTGAGAATTTTGCTTTAGATTTACCAAAAACCATATAATTTGAGTCAAACCTAAACAACACTTTCAATTGTATCCAATTAGGCAGGCCCTTGCACTACATAGTGAACGGTAACTCTAAAGGAAATTGGCCAGAAAATTGTATAGTGTATGTCCAGCCTAAGTCATGTGTTCAGCAACATCAGAAAAAC